AAATTAAATTAATAAAAATATACCTTAGATTCAATTTGATAAAATTCTAAAACATTAATTACTTCATTTGCAAGATTCACGCCTATATGAGAACCTTCTACTTCAACAAAATCTAAAGTTTTTTGTTGGAGCTACCAATTTTTATCTATATAATGAGCTATAATTCCCATATAAGCCTTAACCGCAGTCGAAGTCCACATATCTAAAAAAACTGCAAATTTTCCTAGAATTACTTGTAATTCTATTTGGACATTAGTTTGCATTTCTTTATATTTTTTATTATATCACATTAATTGTATCTGTAGATACAACGTGAAATTTTGATATTTTTTCAATTATACTTTTAATTCGACCTTCCACTATTGTAAAAGAAAGGTCTTCGAGAACAATCCATGACCGTAAATCATCTTGAGTAATCTATATTAATTAATTAATAAAAAAATTTAAGAATTAGAATATAAATAAAAATATCCTTAGTTATGATAAATATATATATATATAAACTTTATACTTCAGAAATCTTATTATTGTTATTATTAGATCTGTAATGATCTAAAGTATATTTAGATGTTGGCATTCCAAGAAGAGATGAGTGTACTCTTTTAACATGTGTCCAAAGATTTGTTGTAGCACCTTTAATGATAGAATATCTAACATTTGAACAATATTTGCATTTCGCAGTAACGGTTTTATCTTTTTTCTCTTTATCAAAAAATTTCCAAACGTCAAACCATGAAGAACTAGAAGCGTTAGATGTTTCATCTATAATATCAAAATTATTTGAAGTTTCAGATGTTGTATTTGATATTTCGGTAATATTTGATACTTCGGATATAGTATTTGATATTTCTGATGTAAAAGATTCATTTATATTAGGTGTATTAAAAGGTTCGCTGCCAAAATAATTGTCGCCTATTGGTAAATAATAATTATCATTAAAACAATTATTTTCATTCATTTTATCGCATTAAAGAGTAAATTTAATTAGTTTATAACAAATATTTGATCGCTAATTTCAAATATTTGATCGCTAATTTCAAATATTTGATCATGAATTTCAAATTCAATTACTTTTGAATTCTGTATGTTACCATTGTTTTAACAATGGCAACATGCAGATTCATGAGATTCTCAAAATTCATTGATGATAACTTCAATATATTCGAATTTATTTGATTAACAATTTCGAATAA